TGTTTGGCACATGAGGCTCGATGGCTAGGACTATAAATAAGAGAAAAAGCCAGTCTCCAGGGCAGTCAGTTCATAGATACAAGGTAGAATAGTGGTTACCAGGTGCCCTGGGGAAGAGGGAGAAGGGAGTGATTGTTTCCTAGGCATACAGTTTCAGTTTTGCAAGATGAAAAGTGTTACAGAGACTAGTTGCACAACAATGTGACTGTCCTTAATGCCACTGAACTGTGCCGTTAAAAAGGTAAATTTTATGTTGTATGCATTTTACCACACACACAAAAAATGCCATTTAAAAAAAAAAAAAGAAAAAATGGGTGGGACTTTCCACCTGGTGGGAAAAAACTGAGGTGGAAATTCCCCAGGTGACACTCTAATTGGCAAGAGGCAGAGAGTCCACACCAGGACGTGAGCTGCAGAGGGCAGGGCAGCTGCAGGCCAGTCTGCGTGTGCCTGTCCGAGGCTTGCTGGATGGGCAGTGGCCTAGTGTGTGGTCAAGGGTTTAGGTCCACTAACTGTGTGACCTGCCCAGAATTGCCCAGACTTTCTCTGCACCAGTGCCTGGGGGTGGTGGGAAGAATCAGTCAGCTAGGTTTGCAGAGGATCTGAAAAAGCATCATTTGCACGCTTTACTATTACCACCAGCCACCAAAACTAAGAGTTCTTGTGGGTTTGCCTAGCTAGCTTCCCAGACCCAGAGTGAGTGCTTTGATAGGTTTAGGATTTTTTTTTTTTTTTTAAATCTTAGAAGTATGTTGATAGGGCTCCTGCTGTTCAAATTTGAGATAAAGTAAATAGCCAAAAAAAAATGTAGTAGATGAAACTATAGGATTGTTAAAAGTTCTTTTTCAACACCAATGTAGTAATTTATTCAGGAAAGGATCACCTGTGGATGTCAAACCACTGAAAGTTTTTGAGAAACAGCTTTTTCAGAGCCTCGAGGTGTCCTCCCACACGTTGCTCATTAATTTCACAGGAAAATGGCACCTTTATAATGAAGAGAGATGGTGTCACCACCTTAACTAAGTGGTCAAACATAGCGTCGCTATTGCTGGGATAAAATGACGTTGTGTGACTCCTGATGTGGTCCCGTAAGGGCAGAACATCCATCCGTCTGTGCTTTTCTTGCCCAAACCGTTTCATCAGGAGGAAGCAATCAGACAGTCCAGAATATGGGGCATTTTACAAGACAGTTGGCCTGGATTCATTTAAAGAGTCAGTGTCGTGAAAAATCAAGAAAGAACAGGACTAAAGAGACATAACAGGCACCATGTGTGAGCCGTGTTTGCTCTTGGATCCCCCCCCCAAAAAAAAAGATTATAAAAGACATTTTTGGGACCCTTGCAGAAAATCAGATATGGATTATTAGAAAATGTTATTGCATTAATGCTGATGTTCTTAGGATTGCTAATAATACGATGATTATGTAGGAAAATGACCTCAGAGATGGATGCTCTGAAGTGTCCAGGGGGGCACGTCACATCTGCAACTTAACTAGAAATGGTCCAGCAAAACCTGTATTTATGTACATATATGCACGCACGTGCACACACAACTACACATGTACTCAGTAGCTCAGTGTCAGCAGCTTATGAATCTGGGTGAAGGGTCATGTGGGCTTGTTCATCTGTTCTTTCATGTTTTCTGTGGATTTGAAAATTTTCCAAATAAAGAACACATCGAACATGTTGAAGAGACTCTGTGGCTCTTGCTGCCTTGGAAAGACTCGGACTTCTGTCCCCTGCCCACCCCCTTTCCCCCTGGGGCCTGCCTGAAGACTTCCAGGCATCTGTTGTCTGTGCTGTTTGTCTTGTCGATAAGGAGCAGGCAGCTGAGTGGCGGTGCTTGGTGGTGGCTGCAATGAGGACAAAGGGCTGGCTCCACTCACGACCATGGGAGGAGGGGAGGAAATGTCTGCCAGGCACGTGCAACACCAGGAAACTCATAAAATCTTTTCTGGCTGTGAAATGTTTTGTGCTGGAGAATAGTCGCTAAGCTGGGTTCGGTTGGCCAGCAGTTAGGAGCAGAGGCTGTAAGGTTGAGCGGAGGTGAGTTCTCAGAGCTTTCTTTCTGAGTCTCTGGGATCCGAACAGAACTTACCTGGGAGGCTCCAGTGCGTGTCCAGCACAGAGCACAGTGCCCAGCCCAGCACAGGCCCCTGCATCTCTGCGTGCTGGGCACCTAAGCCCTTTAAGTTCCACACAGCCATTTCTTATCTGCATAGGGGCATATTCCTAGGTGGGAAGTGAGCAGCTTGTGGAGTTTAGTGCTCTTAGGTTCAGAGCACTAAACGCGTTGAGACCCCCCTCGGCCTGGCTGTGGCATGCTCTGTGTTGGGTCCCCAGGAAGCAGCAGGTGAATTCAGACTCCTCAGTAATCACGGTCCTTCCCATTTCGGGGTAATCCTCTTGGGCCCGGTGGCTGGGGAACAGCGGAGCTCTGACAGGCTTGAAAAGCACTGAGGACAGGGAGGAAACGAATCTGATTGAGCACATCTGCCAGTCGGAATAGATTGCTGGCTGCCAGCAATGCCATGGAAGGGTCTTCGTGCCACTCCCAGCACGGTGCACATTTCTGCTGGGACTGTGACCTTCGCCTTGCCGCCACCTGCTCCACGGAAGAAAAGCGAGCTCATACCTCTTGAGTGGCTGCGAACGGTGTTGGCTCAGTACAGCACAGGGTTCAGGGAAACCTTGACAATTTTGCAAAAATTGTTTCCAAAAAAATGTATTTTTTTTAATTGCACAAAGAACACATAGTCATTAATAGAAAAAAAAAAATTAGGGAATCCAGATAATCAGAGACCATCAGAGGACAATTCAAATGGCATAAAACTTCACTATCCAAAGAAAACCATTTCTTCTGTCAATGAGTAGTCATTGGGCACCTACTGTGTGCCAGGGACTGCCCTGGGACCTGTGGTATAGCAGCCAATGGGTTGGACATGGTCCCTGTCCTCATGGGGCTTAGACCAGTTAAAGATCAGGTGCTGGCCAGGAAATTAATACTCAATATTAAACCAGCAATCTGACTGTGAGAAGTGCCTTGAGGACATCCAGTGGCCTCTGACCTGAGCTCTGGCGGACACATGATAAAACGGGTGAGGGAACCAGCACTTCCAGCTGGAGGGTCGGAATTCCTGGTGGCTGGATCCCGTGCTTGGGAAGGGAGGGTGTGCGGCATGAGGCAAGGCCTGGTCATCCAGGCCTCACTCCAGGATTTCCAGCTGTGCAGGAGGTTCTTCCCCCTTGGGCAGCATTGACCTTGGCTTTACCTGCCTGAGTTGCCCCTGCATGTGCAACAGGGGAAGGTGTGTGATTCGGAGGCAGTGCCATTCCAGGCTGAGCTCCTGATGGATGGGGCTGTGGAAGGCAGTGGGTCTGGGGTGCTGTAAGCTGCTTAGGACCCGGTCATGTTGTATGTCTCCAGTTGCTCAGCTCTTTCCTGTCAAAAACCAGAGGTTCATGTCACGCCATCCTCACCCTCGTGGTATTGTCAGGCTCGCCAAAAAGATGGAGATGTGGGCTTCCCAGAGTTGCCGTTTCGTTTCTTGCTGGCATCTTTTGAGTCTTCCTGAAGAATGTGTGTGCTGTAGCGCAGCCTATAGTGGTTACCTCCTTATCTCTCCTGAACGCGTGAACGTCTGATGAGAACTGGGTCAGAAGCACTGGCAGTTGCACACAGGTGTGTGGACACTTTGTTGGCTGTTCCCTTCATGGGCGCAGACGTGTGCTTTGAGCTCAGCTGCCTTTCCTGGCACTCACCAGCTGCTCTGAACCCAGTGTTGGAGGCCACAGGTGACCAGAGTAGGCCAGGACTCGTGGCTCACCATCTGATGTGGGAGTCGGCCAGCACATGGGGACTGTGATCAGAAAAGGCTTCCAAGGGGCAGTGACTTTGAAGGTGGAGAGCAAGGCGAGGTGGGCACAGTGAGGAGGGGATGGGGACGGGTGCCCAGGCTGAGGGGCTGTGTAGACGAGGCTTGTAGACAAGGAGAGAACAGCGTCTTCAGAGAATAGCAGTGATGGAGGCCCTGGCCAGGTCTGTGTGGTTTCTTCAGAGTGAGGCAGGTTAAAGCTGGGAGGTCCCCAGCAGCCCCACCTGCAGAGCCCCCCACAGTGGAGGCTGCCACTTCCCACCCACAGCCCCTGCACCTTGGCCCTCAGCAAGCCCGACCCCACCTGTCGCTGGCTGCATCTCTGTCCTGAGGATGACCGCCAGATATTGATGACTCAGTGCCTTGATTCCCTTGACCAGGGCTCATATTCTACATGGTTTCTCAGAATTCCGCATAGGAATGAGCTCCGGTTGTCCACAGAGGTGACATACGTGATGGCGTACCTTTTTTTGTCTGTCTTCCCTTTTCCTGTCTGTCTTCCCTTTTCCTGTCTTCTCCCACCTACCAGTCTTTCCCAGGCTCACCTCTCAAGCAAGCTGTTTCTGAGAGAACCCAAACTAACAACCCATCGAGGGAGTTGAAACTCAATACTGAGGACCGTGGGAAGCCGTGGAAGGGCTTTTCCACATCTGGAGGGACAGGGTCAGATTTGCAGGGTCCTTCTGACTATGGCCTGACTCTGACCAGCCCGAGGTTGAACTAGTGAGGACCAGATAGAGGACTCACGTTGTTTCCCAGGCCCTCGCTGCTGTTGCTGACTACCGTTGAGCACCTTCTTGTTGCACATGCTGATCTGAACTGTTGGTGTGCGTTTTCTCATTGTATCTGACAAAAGTCTTCTGAAGTGTAGGTTCTGTTTTATAAATGAGAGAACTGAGGCGCAGGGAAGGTGAGATGCCTGTGCATGATCACACAGCTGAAGCGATGGCTTGGGGATTTGAGCCCAGGTTTGACGGATCCGGTGTATGTGCTCTTATTCCCTCAGCAGTGGCGCCTTTTGGCTTTCTGTCCTCCCTGCCATCGCTGTCCAGGTGCTTTAAGGTGGGCCTTTACTTCCTGGATGCAGGAGAGTGCTGTCTTCCAGTAACCTCTGCTTCCCCCACAGGTAAGTTTGAGGATAGGGAAGACCGTGTACCCAAGCTGGAGCAGATAAACAGTACGAGGATCCTGAGCAGCCAGAACTTCGCCCTCACCAAGAAGGAGCTGCTGAGCACAGAGCTGCTGCTGCTGGAGGCCTTCAGCTGGAACCTCTGCCTGCCCACGCCCGCCCACTTCCTGGACTACTACCTCTTGGCCTCCGTCAGCCAGAAGGACCACCACTGCCACAGCTGGCCCACCACCTGCCCCCGCAAGACCAAAGAGTGCCTCAAGGAGTATGCCCACTACTTCCTAGAGGTCACCTTGCAAGGTAGGGGCCGATGCCAGGACCTATCACCCCTTCCCCGACCACGAGTCGTGTCCATCCAGGGAGTCCTTACCGACTGGGGCCAGTCTCCCCAGATCTCCCACTTTGCAGAGAATAAGCAAAGATGGGGCAAGGATTTGCCTAATGTGTTACCAGTCACGTGTAAAAGAGAAATAGCAGCTTGTGTACAGGCACCTGGTCCCCTTCACACTAGCAGGTCACTTGTTCGTTTTTCTTAGGGTGACCTGCAACATTGCAGATGGTCTAAATAGGACAAATTTGCAGGTAGGTCAGTCTGAAAGAGCTGTCATCATATAGGTGATGCAGATCTGGAGCTGTCATCATACAGATGGGGTGGGGCAGGGGATCATGGTTATGTCTGCTTTAGCCATAAAGTTACCCTGTTTGGAAGCTCATATTTGAATCACACTCTTCCCAATATCCTAAAATCTAGATATTAGGCAAAATACTGGGCAAGAAATATAGTTGATACAACCACCCGATAACCTACCACAGACCAAAATACTCATGAGTAGCAATATCAGTTGTCATGTCAAGTATTAATCGAACTCTTACTATCTACCAGTTGCCTTATTTTAGTGTTTTGCATATATTATCTCATTCGAAGCTACTATTCTCATTTTACAGATTAATTTCCCCAGTTGATTCTCAAGAGGTGAAGTAACTTACCCAGGGTCATTTTTGAACCTGGGGAGTCTGACTCTGACTCTGTCTGTAGCCATGATACTACCTTGGCTGATTTCATGTTTTTAACAGGCAAATCTGAAAATCAACGAAAATGAGAAATAAGTTAAGGCAGCTTGATAATGCACTGATAAACAAGTGTCATTCATGAAAATTGTGGAAATTTCAAAAGTTTGCCTTTGCACATAAATAGTACCAGCTTTGCCACGTTCCCAGACATCTTAGTAGGACATTGAGATTTCTCAGATCATTTTACAACGTATACGTATACCAAAACGTCACGTTGTAAGCCTTACATAGGTACAATTTTTATTCGTTGATTATACTTCAATAAAGCTGAGGGAGGAAGTTCCTTAGTAAACTGTAAGTTAAGTGCCAATTTTAGTTTTGAATATCAAACTCTTGCAGCCACTCATTCAACAGATTTTTATTGAGTGCCTACTGTGGTCCAGGCTTCCTTACTATTTATAAGTAGCCTTTAGCCATACCGCACAACAGAAGCCTTTAAAATGGTACGCCATTCACTCCTCATGACCAAAGAAAGGACAGATGTTTTGGGTTCTGTTTGTAGCCCATTGGCAAGCCTCTTGCAGCCCCCAGAAACCATGGACGATATTTTGATAATCACTGCTCTAGGCTGACATCCCAGACCGAGAGCCAAGGTTCGTAAGATTTAAGAACGGAACTTCACACAGTTTCTACATTTTCCTTTGTGTGTGTGTGTGTGTGTGTGTGTGTGTGTGTCAGCAGTGAACAGCTGAGCACCTGTTTGTCTACCAATTCTCTGGGGGGCACAGGAAGGTGGGGCACCATCATGATGCTGACTCCTTCTGCGATTTCTCTTTCAGATCATATTTTTTACAAATTCCAGCCTTCTGTGGTTGCTGCAGCCTGCGTTGGGGCCTCTAGGATTTGCCTTCAACTTTCTCCCTACTGGACCAGAGACCTGCAGAGGATCTCGAACTACTCCCTGGAACATCTCAGCACATGCATCGAAATCCTGCTGGTGTAAGTTCCTCTCCGATCCTTCTGTGTTTCTGAAATATCGAGGTTTCAGTTGCTCTTGAGGCCCAATTCAGGTGATTTCCTGAAATCTAATCCCTATGGTAGGTTTCCCAGATAGTGTCTTATGTAATGTGGGCCATGGTGACTCCTGATAGAATTAGGGTTTGGAGAGTTGGTCCTTCCTATTTTGCGTAGCTTTGGATTTGCGATTTTCAGGTCAAGGAGTGAGGGAGAAGAGGGGCTGCGTGCACATCTTTCTGAGTGTCTGGGCTCTTTGATCTGAGTCCCGGTGCATCGGTCAGTCTTATGGATGATCACATTGAGAGAATCTCATTATAAGCTGCTTTTGTCAGATGTGGCCACAAAGCTGGCCTCTTAGCCAGCTAAGCCCAGAGTGGCTTAACATAGGAGACCACAGCCACCTTGCAAGCATCCCTGGGAATCTTGGGGAGGAAATGTTCAGTGTGTTTAAGATGCTAAAAGGTATCGTAAACCCACCACCTTGAAACTGATATCAGAGGCAAAAGAGCTCAGTGGTGGCCGCAGGGAGGAGGGCGGAGAGGACAGAAAGCTCTTACCTGACTGTGCCCAGTAGCTCTTTCACCTGACGTAGTTGACAGCAGCTCCTGGATGCTGGCTCCACTGGCCACAGGGCCAGGGCCCTGAAGAGTTACCGCTCAGGCTCCTGATGAGGGAAGCTTCCACACTATCTGCCTTTGTCTCATTTGTCTGAAACGTTAATCCTGCTCCCTGGGCCTTGTTTTAAAACCTGTGCCTTTTAGAAAGCACCCAAAGCCAGAGAATGCAGTCTGGTCTGAGTGCTGACAGGTGCCCCCGAATTCTCGGCCACCAGCCCTGCCTCTTAATGGCTGTCGCTCTGGGGTAGCCCCCTTCTTGGACCCACTGTAGCCTCCACTGGCTCCTGTCTTACATAAGCCTCTAATGGAGTCGTTTTCTCAAAAAGTTTATGGGGAGTTTTGGTGGGGTTTTTTTTTGGTTGTTTTTTTTGTTTGTTTGTTTTGTTTGTTTTGTTTGTTTTTGATATGTAAGAAACCTATTCCATCTCCCACTTTACAGATGGAGATACTTAGGCCCTGAGTCAACTTGCTTGGGATCCGCTAGCTCAGGAGTGACCCAGCCTGGAGGTAGAGCCACCAGAGGTGCCGTGAGGGCAGAGGTGGTGCTCATTCAAACACACCAGGAGCTCTGCCCTCGCAGGCGAGCAGTGAGCCAGGTTGGGGACGCAGCGATGAGCAAGAGCAGACAGGGTCTTCTCTTTCGGAGCTCACTTTGGCACGGAAGGCCAGGTAGTAACCTGGAAGTTATCCCGTGGGGTGTCGACTGCGAGATGAGGCAACTCAGGGGCTTCGGGGACTGCTAGGCTGGTCTCGAGGGGTAAGAAGAAGTGTTTATAGGACTCAGATCTAAGCCGAGATCGAGGCCTGAGGTTGGTCTGAGGACAGCTGAGACAAGGCTGGAGGCAGTGAGCCCAGGCTGAGCAAGGCCAGCAGCGACAGCACTCACATCGCCTCAGATCCCCCTTAGCAGGGCAGGGAGAGGTGCTCCTAGGTGTCTGGTGTTGTGGCCTTTGCCCTCTAAGTCTCACCTAGGCCCTTCCCTTTCAGAGCCTATGACAATGTCCTCAAGGACGCCGTCGCAGTCAAGAGCCAGGCCTTGGCGATGGTGCCCGGCACGTCCTCAGCCCCCACCCAAGTGCTGTTCCAGCCACCTGCCTACCCGACCCTCAGCCAGCCGACCCCGATGGCCCTGGCGCCGTTCCAGACCCCTGTGCAGGACCTGTGTCTGGCCTATCGGGACTCGCTGCAGACCCACCGCTCGGGGAGCCTGCTGTCAGAGGGCACTGGCTCATCCCTCCACGCCCCGTACCCCACCCTGCAGACCCTGGACGTGTGTCCCGTGCCCCTCCCCGCATCCCTCAGCATGCAGATGGCCATCGCAGCCGAGCCCAGGCACTGCCTCTCCACCACCTACAGAAGCAGCTACTTCAGCGGGAGCCACACATTTCCCACAAGCTGTTTCGACAGATAGGGTCCCGTCGGGCCACGCAGCAGGGCGGCCTTGGAGAGCCAGACCGAGGAAGAGGACACTGACGAGGGGAGCTCAGCCGAGTGAGGCGACCGGGAAACGGTCTCCACAGAGCCTCGTTGCCCGCGAACGGAGAGGGTTTGTGCCCCTTTTAAAGAAAACTGACCCAGAACAAAACAGTCGATGAGATACCTCACCCAAGAGCTTTCCTCAGGAAGACGTCTGCCGCGTGTTTCTGGGGTGCAGGCAGGATGGCTTGGTGCCATCCCCCGGAGCAGGGGCCCAGCGGCTTGAGAAAGACCTGGTAAGAGGCCAGGAGACTGGGAGCTGGAGCCGACGCGCGTCCGTGAGCACGTCCGGTGCTGCGCATCAGAGACTCCCGTGTTCTTTGCCGATGGCAGCTGCACCGCTCGAAGAAGGGGCAGCCTGCCGTGTTCTCAGGACCCTGGTCGATGCTGGGTCCCTGGCCCTGCGCAGAGGGGCCTGGATGTGTGTGGTGCCCGAGCGTCTGCCTTCCCGGGCCTGCCGGGCGGCCGTCTTGCCTTCGCCGTCGAACCCGAAACCTTATTCGCCCTTTTAGATATTTCACGTGCTGCTGCTCCCCGAAGTGACCTAGCTTCCTGGTCCGTAAGAAGTCTTGTTTACGTACTGTATCAGGGATTTCGTGATACTTGAAAATTCCTTAGGAGAAAAAAAAAAAAAGTGCTGATTGCCACGCTGCCTGTCCCACCGTGGGCTGTAGGTGTCACCCTGCTCGTGCCTGACCCGTGGGTAACGACAGAGCTCCCCTTTCCAAAATGTACAGTTGGGGAGAACCACTTTCCAGGCTCTCGGTTCCAGAAGATTCCACGTCTCAGACACTGTGTTCACCTGTAGAACTTCAGTAACCACCTAGAGGTAAAAGGTTGTTGAAAGGTAGACAGAGATTTAAAACCAGCATCCCTGCCTGCCTCTACTGCCTGCCTCTAGTGTGTGAGGTTAAGCCCGGCCTCGGCTTTGAGTTTGGCTAATAGCAAAGGATGATAAGGAGGAGTGTGTGCTGAATGCCAGCTGGACTTGGGGAGTGGGGGTTGTGTATGACACCACCACTGAGAGGCAAGCAATCGTTTGGATCGAAAGCCAGTATTTGGTGGGTGTCTGCAGCGAGGGGGCGCTCAGGAAGATTCTGGTGACCATGTGCAATATGTTTGTATTTTGACTCTTGGCTTGTGCTCAGCATGCTTTTTTTGTTTTTTCTTTCTGGTTGGTTGGTTTGGGGCTGGGGGACACCTTCACCCAACAGAACTGGGAGGTGTAAAGAACCACACAAGCTTTGTTCGTTTGTTTGTTTGTTCGAAGAAGAACCCATGTTGGTTTTCTTGACTCACTTGCCCGTCCAGGGGACTTGGCAGGGGAGCTGCCAGGGAGCCGACGCTGTGCTGCTGAGTCGGACCCGAAGGTGATTTTCTGAGCGGAAGAAATCTCCGCGTGGACGTGGAGGAAGAAGAGAGGGGGTGTGGAGGCGGCGCCGCCAACTCCGTCACGCTCGCGTAGGAAGCCGCACGTTCGTTCGTTTTTCTCTTTTTCCTCCGCCAGCCTCCTTCTATTTATGTGCGACTGGTTTGGATTCTAAGTTATCATGTCTGTGTATTCTGCAGCTGGGGGCTTGTGAGGGGCCCCCAGAAAAATCGTCCGGAAATAAACACGTCACCTGCTCCAGGTCTCCCGCATCTCTTCCTCGTGTCCTCCTCTCGGTCAGCGCCCCCGCCTTCCACGTCAGTGCTTGCGGGCGCCCCTGCTCGTGCTGAGAGGTCGTGGGGAATGGGAGACACAGCGAAGCTGGCTCCCGTGGACCGGGGTCTGGCCCTCTGGGTTAGATAGAGCTGGGCCTCCCTGGGGACACGGGCAGCAGGAGTGAGGACAGCTTGACATCCTGGCTTTACCACTGACTCAGTTCTCCAGAGAATCAGAATCCGTTACACACATGGCAAGAGAGGTTTATTTTAAGGAATTGGTTCAGCATCGCAGATGCCTGGCTTAGGGCCAGGGTCAAGGTGGTCCTCCCTCATGTCTTCCTGATTCCACGTCCATCCCTCCAAAGCCGTCTTGTCTCACTTCTGAATTCCCTTCTCTCCTAATCCTCTGTTTCAGTGATTCTCGGCAGGGCTCATTTTTGTTCCCCAGGAGACATGTGGCAATGTCTGGAGATATTTTTGGTTGTCATAATTGGAGGGGAGGGGCCTGACTGGCATTTAGCACGTACAGGCCCA